TAAATAAATTAAATATTTTATTAAAATTTCTTTTAAAAAAAAATAATAAATAAAATCTTCTCTCTCTTCCATTGGATTTTCAACCCCCCTCAAGGTAAAATTTTCTTGAAGGAAGTTAGCCAGCTATTCTCCACACTAAATGTTCTAGTAGTTCATTTTGCTTTGTTGTATTTTATTTCATTTTATTTTCTTAAGATTTTATTTTTAAGTAATCTCTACACCCCATGTGGGGCTTCAACTCACAGCACCGAGATCAAGAGTCCTATGCTCCACTGATTGGACCAGCCAGGTGCCCCGCTTTGTTGTATTTTAAATTGATTTAAGAGTCAGGAACCAGGATTACTAGGCTCTCAAGAGACCAGAAATAATCTCCCCTATCATTCACCTGGAACATACACCCCCACACGTACACACACTCACACTCCTTGTTTTCAGAAATACAGACCTTGCATAGTTGGTTCTCTTTTCAGAGTATCCTATGCAACACAGTCTTTCCTAGTTATAATGCACTTTTCTTACCACACATGTAAGTAAAAGCTTACTTTAGTTTGACTTGATATTTAGAGAGGAAGATGCCAATTGGGAAGAAGCCTGTCAGTTTGTCGAGCCTGCCCATGACAGGTGGGGTGCGGAGGAGCTTCTCTGGTGACGAAGAGTTGACTCCTCCTCCATATCGAACCCTTCCAGCACAGACAGCCCCGGAGGCCTTCCCACCTCCCAGCACTAGCCGAGAGTTCAGTCCCAGCCTCAAAACAGGTAATAGTCACATCAGCACCTCAGGTACTACAGGGGGTGAAAGTCTGGGCAGGGCGGTGGGAGACAAAGCATGGTCTGGCCTGACAGATGCTGACTCATTAAATTTTTCTTTGTCTTTCAACTAAAAACTTCATCTTCACTAGTCCTTGGTAGTCACTTCACTAAGTTTGAATCATCAGGGAGGGAGTTTTATTTTCTTTTAAACCGCTTCTGAGCCTCACATTAGGGTAAAGCTCATCATTTCAGTTGATGGAATTGTGAGACAATTTGTACTGTTTCATGGTTTCATTAAAATAGTTGAACATTTTCCATCGCAGAATTCCATGTGGTTTGACCTGGGGGAGAAATACACCATTAGGGATCAGCCTGATTAATCAGACCCAAAGATGAGGCTTTGCTCATAGCATTCCACAGTGTCTCTCACTCACTAGGAAGGATGTGTTTTGCGTTCCTATGGAATTTAGGTTGTGGTAACACTGTTACCACCATTGTAGTTGAATAACATGAACTTGGAGATAAGTACTTACATAATTTTGGTGTTGAATTTGAGTAAAATTCATTCCCATAACTTCATGTTTCTGAAGTGACATTTAATTTGAATTTAATTGGTTTGGCCAAGCTAGTAGGTTGTAAGGAAAACTGCAAAAGGTTTTGCCTTTTGTAATTGCTGAGAGCAAACGTATTATCCTAGAGTATCAGAAAGGCTTCGCTTGCATGTGATGAACCTCAGACATGAGTACGGAGAGACAGGTTCGCAGCCAGAGTCCTACAGGCCTCGGCGTGTGTTCTGCCGTTATCCTGGCTATTGCTTTTCAACTCGGTGGTTTTATTTAATCGGTAGTCTTCACAATGCCTTTTGTGTGTTGAAAACCCTGATGGGGACTTAATACCTAGCTCTGTTTTCTTCTTCTTTCTCTGTTTGATAATGTCTTTATACCTGAAGTTTTTGGGGGGTTTGGTTTTTGTGGGGGTTTTTTGGCTGGTTTTTTTTGGGGGGGGTGCCTTTTAAGATAATGTTCTTTAGCTTTTGCCTCCCTACCTGTGTATTAGGTTATCTTCATCCTCCCTAGTCCATCTCTGTGTAGATCACTCTGATATCCTTATATCTAGAGGAAATTACTATGCCTTTTTTGTATAAAAAATAGGTTAGGACTGCAAATCTAAGTTTATCTGCTCTTTAGTGGAAAAACGTTCAAAGTCTAAAGAACATTTCAATTTCTTTTCTTGTCTCTCTGACTTTGTTTTTGTACTTGTTATTTATGACATAGTCTTCTTTAATCTAAGTCATTAACTGTAGATATTGTGAGCTCTGAATATGTTTGAATTTTTATTGGATTTTAGATGTTTTCTTTAAGCATTGGACTAATTTAGAAGGTGTGTGTCGTGTTCTTTGAGAGGTTACGGATTCATGTAAAATAGAACTTCTAGGATTGGCAAAACCTAAGAACTCAGAGTAGACGCATAGGACAGAAACCAGGGGGTCTCCTGCGTGACACACGATCTCCACCGGAGTCTGCAGTGTCTTCTCAGCTGGGGGCACATCTCGTGGGATGTGGTGTGATCTTACTCTGCTGAAACGGTGTGAGGACTGCATTCCTGTCGTAACTACCTGAAAGCTGCAGTTTGATTAGCCACTGAGAATTTATTTATGGACTTCCCCAGCTAGGAAAATATGATTTCCATTAGTTTAACCCCCGGAAATGTTACTGATTAGTCCACAGAGTGACTTCCTTTTAAAAACGGAGCTCAGAAAATGCACTTGCATGGAAGTTGACATTTGGCCACAGGGTCTATTTGATTTCATCCATCATTCATTAGCGTGAAGATACCAGACAGGCTTTATTTTAGATTCCATGAAATACAGTGAAACTTTGCATGGAAGCATTCCACATCTGAGTGAACGTTTCACCTTTATCTTGAGTTACTTTTTTTTAAGCACATTGTTTCCATATTTTAAGATGCATAGAAGCATAATCCAGAAATTCGTTGTTAATAGTAAATGCAAATAGTTTCGGAACTGTTTAGAATCTCAACTTACCTTTCTTACATTTCAAAAAACAAAACAAAACAACATCGGTTTGAATGGAACATGTTTGGTCTTGAAGCACGGGAGTTCTTTTCTCATTCATGTAGCCATCTGACCATCCTATAACAAGATACCGTTTCAACCAACCTTTTATCGTGGGTACTGCACCTTTAATGAAACTGAAGGTTTTTCTTTTCCATGTTTTATTTTCACGGTATTGTTCAAATGTCCTAACAATTAATGTGTGTTGGTTAGATTTGAAGGATAACTATTATATACTTGATACTCACACTCCATAAAAGCATTTTTAATTATATTAAGTAATTTTTTTATAAAGAAAAGAACTGCACAGTCTTGTTTGCTTTGACTTCCAACAGTCTGATTCGTGTTTGTTTTGCTATTATTACAGGCATAGTGTATTCGCTTTTCTGTCTTTGGGCTATGAAGTTTTTTAACACCCATTACCAAAACAAGTACCAAAGTAAAATGAAATGAATTGACATCTCTCAAAAGATTATTCTGTATATTATTAAATAAGATGTCAAAGACCACTATTTTTTTTTTAAGATTTTTTTTTTTTTTTTAAGTACTCTCTACACCCAACGTGGGGCTTGAACTCACAACCCTGAGATCAAGAGTCGCATGCTCTGCAGACTGAGCCAGCCAGGTGCACCAAAGACCACTATTTTTGGAACTAATCTTTTGTAACTAAGATCAGGAAAGAAAATATTTTTCTATGACTGTACTATTTGACTTTAAAAGCGTAACCATTCTAGGGCGCCTGGGTGGCGCAGTCGTTAATTGCCAGCCTTTGGGTCAGGTCATGATCCCAGGGTCTTGGGATGGAGCCCCACATCGGGCTCCCTGCTCAGCGGGGAGCCTGCTTCTCGCTCTGTCCCTCCCCACTGCTCGTGTGTGCATGTGCATGTGCACGCGCACTCACTCTCTCGAAAAATAAAAACCTTTAAAAATAAAAGTGTAACCATTTTAATATTGTTCCACATGGTGACACTGTCTAGTTAGTGCTTCATGAAAACTTGGTTGGCTTCCTATTCATCTTTGATTCTTCCCATAAATTGACCTTTTTTTCTATATAAGCAGTTCCCAATTTACATTCCATATATGTGCGCATCCTCTCTTTCCGATTGTAATGAAAAGTTCCATAATGGAAGAAACAAAAAGTTTGCACTTTTTGTTTGGAGCTGGTGCCTGCAGGAAGCGGACCAGTCCCCTCAGGGAGGAGTAGCACCCCGGCAGGAGTGGGAGTCACATGTTGCACGTGCTCGTTGGTGGCAGGCACCGTGGCAGAGGGAGGTTTGGGCTGCCCGGCTACAGAGCGTAGCAGCCGGGGAGTTCCCACTGATCACAGCCCCCGGAGATTGCTGGCCTCCTGTTGCCAAGTCTCCCTGCTTTCCCGGGTCTTAGGTGAAGTCTCTTGTTTCAGAATATTCCGTCAAATTCAAAAGAACCATTGGACGCAGGCGAGGAAGTGGGAAGGACACAGTTTGTGACCTCTGATGTGACACATCTGTGTGCTGACGGAATTGGAGAAGAAAACTAGCACTGCTCACCATGGGATTAGATCCCAGTCAGTATTACTGTTAGCATACAAGATCACCCATCCTTTTCTATTATTTGGAATTTGACCAGCTCAATTTTGGTTAAACGGTAACATCTTAAGAAACCTGGACACATCTCTGAGAGGTTGGTAGTCACTAAGACTAGTTTTTAGCACCTCGCTGAGATCGTTTTTATTTAAAAAGTAGGGAAGTATAAAGAGATAGGAAAATCTTAGAATTAAACAACCTAAAGTTTTTGCCCAAGACCACTGCTGGGCCCAGCAAAGAAAAAATTTTTCTTTCTCTTCATCCTTGCCCATGCTTAGGAAGAGCCCTCCCTCCTGTCCCTAAGGATTCTGACTAGCACGACTTCAGTGGCTGTCAAGAAATCTAACCCCACTGAAAATACTAGAAACTGAAAAACAGTTGTCCACAGAAATAAAGACCTACTGGACCTGTTTATAAATGGAGGACTGTCTATACTGTTGGTTGGTTTTCATTAAAAAGGAAGTCATCAGGGGTGCCTGGCTGGCTCAGTCGGTAGAGCATGCGATTCTTAAGCTCAGGGTCCTGAGTTCAAGCCCCCTGTGGGGTGTGGAGCCTACTTACAATTTTTAAAAAAAAAAATTTTTTTTTAAATAAAAAAAGGAAGTCCTCAGGTAAGGACTCCCCCGGTACTGCTGTCCAGTGTTGCCCCTGGCAATGTTGGCTCTTTTGCACCAGTGATTTTCACATTGCCGACGTCAGTAGTTTTATTTTACCTAAAATGATTACTCAAGTTTTCCATGATTTTAAGTTTAACATAGGTGTTTATCTAATATCAGATTTATCATTTGTTTTTACAAATATGTAAATTTTGTATATACATAATACCCATCTTATAGATGATAGAATACTTTGTATTATTTATAGTACTATTTTAAGATTATCAGATTTATATCTTTTTTCTACAGGGAATCTTCTTAATAAAGGTACTCCTTGGAAATAGTAAGATTATATCGAAGTCCTGTTTATTGTGTTGTTACTTATTTTAAATATTATAGTTCAGAATCGTGTGAGAAATAGGTCATTGTTCCATAGACCTTGACATAAAAGTGAATACTATAAGAAAAATTCTAATTATTCTTGCCAAATTAGTGCTCACCATTACCTTGACCATTTCATTGAAGATGTCCATCGTGCAGTGTCCAGCATGCAGGATCTTACTGTTCTTTATGGAACTTTCCTTACCTGCTGATATACTTTGAAAATTAAAATGAACTAAATGTTCATACTTCAGGGGGTTAATTTTTAAGAGTCACTGAAGACATGAAGAAGTCTTCCTAGTAAAGTTGGTGGAACCTGACGATTGAAAGTAATCTGAATACTCCAGAAAGGCTTAATAACAGCCCATACATTTATCTCTTTCATGCAGTGACGACATTGCAGCTGAAGGAGGAGTTGATAGACGGAGAGGATTATAATTTCCTCCAAGGAGCATCTGATCAGGAAAGCAATGGCTCTGCCAGCTTCTACATCAAACAAGAGCCCTGAGAGGGCGCTGCAGCGGAGGGCGGGACTGGTTTATAATCACTCGAGCTGTACAGCGGGGCTCTTCTACTGGGACATTTTGCTAAACATAGAAAATTTCAGTTCCAGATTTTTCAGGTGGGTGGGGAAACTATTTTAGTCGTGGGGGGAAATTTTTCAATTTATAAAGATGGACAATTTTTGTGTTGTATTTGAAGCTTTTGAAAGAATTTTGTAATATTTTCCAAGTTTGGATTTATGTGCATTGTTAACAACTGAAATTCTAACTTTTTGGTAAGATTAAAGTTTAGGTAGCAGGATTGAAGGAAATGATTTAAGAAGGATATAGTTGTAAATGCAAATGAACTGTCATTACAAATGAACCTTTTTGGTACCTGTTGGGAGATTTTGGGATTTTAGAAGTTAGGCCAGTCACATCTCCAGCTTCCTTTGCTGCAGAAATATGCAACTGAACCCCTCCCCCCCTCGTGGAGGGTTCATCACCACATAGATCATGGAAGGGGTAATTAATTCTGCTTGTTGGCATTTTATTGCAGCCCATTTTAAATGTTTGTACAGAAATGTTTTTCATTCTGTGAAAATTTATTTGGAGTTCTATATGAAACTGGAAGAACTCTGGATACTTTTATATGTTCTCTTTTAATTAAAAAATGATTAAAATTATCCTAACACTAAAGTGTTAAACTGGAATGGTTGACAAGATAAACAGGATTTCAGTCTACACGTTGAGGGGTTGGGGAAAATGTGATATTGTCCTTCGTTCATTTTCTTTTCCTTACTAGAAGATACCCCACGAGAGGGATTCTGATGAGTTCCCTGCCATTTCCCTCCATCTGTTAGATAATACTTAGTATAACCACACCCCAAAACAGATGTTCTTCTGTATTACCAGTAGAATCAAATCAAGAGTTGTTTAAAGCCAAAAATCAGTTTAGAATTCAAAATCATTCCAGCTCTGCTTTTAACTATCCTGGATTTGTTTAAAAAAAAAAAAAAAAAAACCTAATTTGAAAGAGAATTTAATTTTCTTAAAATTCCATATATATAAATATATATATATATATAGTATGAATTGTCTTTTAATTGTATTCAAAATTAATTTTAACAGTAATAACTGATTTGGACCATTTCAAACATTCCCTACTTTAAAATTCACATGGCTTCCTTTAAAAAAAAGGATACAAGGGTAAATTGGTGAAAGGTTTGCTCTCTGCATTCTAACTTTCTGAGTTGTGACTGAATGAGAGAGCTCTAGCGTTTACCAGTGAGGTTCATAAACTAAACTCTCAGGAATTAATTGCATCTGTTCTAGAAGTGCTTCTGGGTCTTAGCCTGGCCTCTTCAGAGTGGTAATATTGGCCATCTCCTCTGGAATACAGGTAGGGCTATTTAGAAATTAATCAAAATGATTAACCTCTAAAGTCCTTCAGCCTATGGAATGCTTTAAAAAAAAAAAAATGGTAATGGAAAGCCCCAGGAGACCACTTTAGGTAAGATTTTTGTTTGAATTTTAAAATGCATAGAACATTAAAAACCAGCAATTTATTTTCTAAAATATTGCTCTACTTTGGGGAATAATAGCATTGGTAATACACACAGGTTTACCTCATTCTATGCAAGAGGGGTTAATAACATAAGGTTTTATAGTTGCTACTGGAAGTAAAATTTGTTACTTTATAGTGTAAGAATGTATGGAATCGCATGTCAACATTTCTTAATACTGACTCTTTAGGGGCATAAATGCAGATCATATCAACGCCAGGTTTGATTCTCATGTGTCAAATATATGTGAATTCAGCTGTTAAATTACTGGATATTTATCTTAAACAACCTTACTGAGAGGGACCTACTGTAAATGTGACATCCTCACACTTCCCAAATCTTTGACTTTTAAGAATCTTCCCGTAAGCGAAAAGCCTAGAAGACTTTCACAGCAGGGCTTACCACGGTCTTCATTCTCAGGCTCTGGTTCTATGACAGGAGCTGCAGGGCGTGCTTGGCCATACCTGGGGCTTAGGGGCCCTTTGGGGAACTGAGTAAACCAGGAAGGATTTGATTTGGAGCCTGGTAGTAATTAGTTCTGTGCACAATGTTCATTTGTAGCCAGGTCTTAGAAGCTTCCAGTCACACAGCAAAACCAGGCTCTGAGCGTTTTCGAATGTCCCACCTGTTTGTGTGAAGTATTTCTCGTCTCGATCCCATGCCCAACAGTTAAAGGTTGGCAAGGACTTCCTACGGTCTAAACAGTCTGAAGCCCTCCTCGTTGTTCAGGCTCTTAACTCCTGCTGCTGATGAACAGAAAAGTTAGTGCAGAGGAGATTGATGTCTTAGCCATAACTCCAGCTGTACAACCCAATAGCCCCATTCTCTTTTACGGTTCAAACTGTACTGCTGACCTTGGGTTTGTTTTCATTTTTTTCCTGTTAGGATTATTTGGGGATTTTGGGTAGTTTAAACTCTTTAACCTTTTCCTTGCTGTGTATGAGGAAAGCTAAAGCTGTTATCAACTTGTTATTCTACGGATACTAACACGGGTTTTCAGTGTTTGTTTGTTTTTATTATATTAATTTTGCGTGATGTGAATACCCTCTCCCATCAATACTTGTATTATGGTGCTATATATTTGGTAATGATCCTTTACTATTGGGAAGGGATTTTAAAAATACTGTGATGAAACGGGGTTGCTTCCTTTGATTTTCATATTTTAAATAAAGCCACAGTCATTTATACAAAAGAAAAGCATCTGTCCCTGGGCAAATCTTTTGAGGACAGAGGTCAAAGTAAACTGCATAAGGTTTTTACATCATTTCTGTATGTATTTGATATATAGATCAATATCTGTACAAATTTAATCTTTTATTTTCTTGGTAACTTGTGATCACTGAGAAAGTATTTGAGACTTTCTCATTAAGTGTATATAATGGCGTGAAAAATTCCTTCAGAGAAACTTATGTTCCTTTCATTTTTACCAAACTGCAAATTTTCAGCATGGATGTGAAAAGCATTAAAATTATAACTTTGTGTACAAGATGAAAATAATTCACTAAAATTTGCCCTTTTTTACACAAAATAAAACGTTAAAGTTAAGTTGTATTGGAGCAATTCTTTAATACGCTTTGGTCTTTGAGGGGTTTCCTTTTTTATTCAGATATTGGATGCCTTCTATAAGCAATCACAAGCCCCTGAGAAAGCCAGGTGGGTTCCTTCCTCACAGGACCTGTGACCTGAGGGAAAAGCAGGCACGTTTGCTACTGGCTGACAAGGAGGAACCGCGGAGGGGGCCCTAGGCCCCAGGTATGGCGTGGACATGGCTGCGTCTGAGCCAAGATTTCACAAAGGTAAATGGCCAAGCCACAGCACAGGCAGCGGGGAGTGCGGGCCACAGGTGGGGAGAGTCCTTCCTGTAGCTACAACATGGGGTTTCAGGGTTGGCGTGCTTGCTGGGGGACTTTTTTTTTTAAGCTCCATTAATCTCAATAGCAGACAAAATTCATAGGATGTAAATAAATGATCCCGGCTGCCTCTTGCTGTTTCCGTGAAGAGGAAATGCAAGATACCCCCTTTACCAACAACTAAGTCCTTAGTAAATTTTTCAACTTTTACTAAAAAAAGTTTGTAGAGGGGCGCCTGGGATGGCTCAGTCGTTAAGCATCCGCCTTTGACTCAGGTCATGATCCCGGGGTCCTGGGATAGAGCCCCGTATGGGGCTCCCTGCTCAGCGGGAAGCCTGCTTCTCCCTCTCCCACTCACCCTGCTTGTGTTCCCTCTCTCGCTGTGTCTGTCAAATAAAGTAAAATCTTAAAAAAAAAAAAAAAGTTTGTAGAGAATTTTATGGATGTAAGATAACAGATGGGTTGGGTCTTCTGGGGTTAATTTCATCATCACGCTTTAGAAAAATACAACACACTGCAAGAAAAAAAGCCGAACCTAATTTCTGCCCTGCTTTCTACCTTACATGGCTTGAACGGTTGCCTAGTACGTGGGAATTCCCAGCTTAGCTCTCATTTACAGTCCTATGAGCTTTGAGATACACATACTATTCTTGAAACCATTACATGCCCCTTGGGAAAACTTGAGATCAGGGGACAACAGTAAAGGATTTCCTCTTGCAAACTGTTAACTGAGGCTGTGGCATTTAAATAATGTATTTAATATGTACTCCAAAAATTTTATGGAAAACATAAAAGGTTCTGAAGTTGTCCACATTTCACACAGCTACCTGGGAGATAGGATGAGGTCCAAAATCCAACCTTACTCCAGAGGCAGTAACTAATCTCACCATAGTCCACCCTTTCTCGTTCAGTTCTACCGAATTAAGTCCCGAAGTTCACACCCTTTCTCTCACCTTTCCCCGCTCCAAATTTGATTTCAGGTACCCTACGAACTCAAAATTTTCAGGTGTCATTTGGAAGGAAAACTAGGTAAAGGTAGTGAAACAGTAACCAAGAGCATGGGGTCCGAAGCCAGCTGCTTCCACTGAAACCATCCTTGTGAATTCTGTAACTTGACTCAGTTTCCTCAGCTGTAAAATAGGGATACCAGTACCAATCTCCTAAGAGTTGTGAAGTCTATAAATTCATGTATGTACAGTTCTTAGAACAGCCTTGACACAGAATAAGCCCATAATTAACTGCTGTCCATCCAAATACCTCAGCTTGCGTGTCACTGCGAGACTTCAAAACACATTAAAATGCAGATCCAGGGGTGCCTGGGGGGGCTCAGTCGGTTAAGCATCTGCCTTCGGCTCAGGTCATGATCCCAGGATCCTGGGATCAAGCCCCGTGTCAGGCTCCCTGCTTAGTGGGAGGATGCTTCTCTTTCCCTCTGCCCCTCCTCCCTGCTCATTCTCGCGCTCTCTCAAATAAAAAAAATTAAAAAAAAAAAAATGCAGGGGCGCCTGGGTAGCTCAGTTGGTTAAGCGTCTGCCTTCGGCTCAGGTCATGATCCCAGGATACTGGGATCGAGCCCTCCATCGGGCTCCCTGCTCAGCTGGGAGTCCGCTTCTCCCTCTCCCCCTACCCCCGCTCATGCTCTCTCTCTCAAACAAAATTTTTTTTTAAGATTTTTTTATTTATTCATTGGAGACACAGAGATACAGAGAGAGAGAGAGAATTAACCTTAAAAGGCACTAAGAATTTTGTAACCAGTCACTGCATGTAGCCCAGAAAACAGGCTTATCTCACTCCAGGGAAGAGTTAAGAAGGAGGGTAAGGTTGCAGAGAACACTTAACCAGGGGCCAGGCACTAGATACATTCTTTCTTTTAAACCTGCATTGCAGTGGTGGTATCCTCATTTTACAAATGTCTTCAGACTTCCATTTTCCTCATAACTTGCCCAGTTATCAGTCAACAAAGATGTAAATCTGGACTTGACTACTCTGTTTCACTTGAGTTTCAACAAATTCACTGTACAGAAATCTACATGTCTACAATCCTCTAAGGTGGTCAGGATATTTATTTCATCACTTCCTTTTTAGACACACAGTGCCACACTTGTCCTCTTCAGCCTCTCTACTTTACCTCCTAGAGTCTAGCAGTACACCCTGGTGCTGAGAAGGGTCAGATCATTCTTCCACAGCAAGCAGGATTATTTAGTTCTGTATAACGTTGCGAAAGCCAAGGAACCAAGTCACTTCTTGCAGTCATAGCAAGTAAGCACAAAAGGCTGCACCAGTTTCCAAAGGCTTTATTGCTAAGTGCGTTTTAGAAAAGAAAGACTGATGCCATTACTTCCAAGTCACTGGAATGAAGAGGTGTGTCCAGGGCCACGTCAACAGTGGTGCCAAAGGGGACTGATGCTTTGTCCACCTTTTATTCATAGATCCAGTCAAAAGCACAAGACTTGTAGTTAACCAACTCTTCAGGCTTAAACCAGAGGCTGATTTCTTTCTCTGCACTTTTTACGGAATCACTGCCATGAATGATGTTCCTAAGAAAGAACAAGTAACTTGTTACCACATTTTATTTATTATTTAAAGTAGGCTCCACACCCAGTATGGAGCCCAACGTGCGGCTTAAACTCACAACCCTGAGATCAAGAGCTGAGCTGAGATCAAGAGTCAGATGCTTAACCGACTGAGCCACCCAGGCGCCCCAAGTTACCACATTTTATTTTATTTTTTAAGACTTTGTCAGCGAGAAAGAGAGCACAAGCAGGGAGAGAAGCAGGCTCCCTGCTGAGCAGGGAGCCCGATGCGATGCGGGGACTTGATCCCAGGACCCTGGGATCATAACCCACTGACTGAGCCCCCCAGGCGTCCCCCAGGTTACCACATTTTAAAGTGCCAAAGTCTGTTTATGGCTAAGGCAAAGGAGTCACTGCAGACCTTTTCAGCCAAATTGCCACTCGAAGCAGGAGACTACCCCCAGAATATTTCCTCTTAAAAGCAACCATAAAATTAGGGGGGGCTTAACCAAAAGGTTAAGTGGCGCACCCATGGCCACAGCCACGAGGAGCAAAGCCGAGGCTTTTCCCCACACTCCGCGCTTTCTGCTGTGTCCCACAGGACCTACCACACGAAGCTCCCTTGTGCGAGGAGGCCTTAGGTAAAATTTTAAGTAGCCTAGGGAAGTCACTATTGAAGAAAACTTTCATCCAGTGATCATTTCCACCTAATTTTAAAAGTTCAAATTTTCCTAAAACTGGGATACGCCGATAAGGTTTCATACCCCCTCGTGAAGTGCCTTTGAGAAACAGTCCTCCATGCCCCTCAGGCCTTACCTGCCAACTTGAATGCAGAAGTCCCCACGAATGGTGCCGGGCTTAGAATCCGCGGGGTTGGTCTCCCCAAGCATCGTTCGCCCCGTCTTCACCACATTCAGTCCCTCCCAGACCTGGAGACAGTCGGGAAGAGGAACTGCATCAGATCTGTCACTTGGGACCATTGCAGTACAAACCTTCACCCGTGCCTCCCAGCTTGCTCCCGTCAGACCAGTCGGTGACTCGGCCAAGCAGCTCAGCCCGCACTAGGCAGCAGGGGCCTGTGGGAGGTGCTCCGGGCTCCATCCCCAGTGTACCGCTCGGATACACAGAAACCATCTACCCAACTCGGGGACTTCCCACCTAACCGAGGGGAAGATGAACAGCACGGAAGAACCTCAGGCAGCCACAAGCACGAGGGGAAACGGTGATGAAGGGGTAGAAGACAGTGATCGGGCTGGAACCGGGTCAGGGGGAAGGACTTAGTGCAGGATATGGTGAGGATTCCCAGGAAAGCAGAAAGTGTAGGCAGGGGAAGAACAGGAAGAACAAAGAGCCATCCTCCGAGAACCCGGGCCGATTTCAGTGCCTCCCTCCCAAACTTCCTACTCCTCTTCATTCCCAGCTAGACATTAATGCCAGAGGAGGAAACAGACTACTGGGTTACAGAGAACTTTTTCTAAGGTCTGGTTCCCCTTGCTTCTTCCTCCCAAGCTCCTAACTGCTCTAGCTCCAGCAGGCTCCATTTGTAAAACAAAGGAATCTGGAGTGGCTGGGGAAGGTGTCTAAAAAGAGGCCATGCCGCACTGAGCAAGCCGGGTTCTGTACCAGCCC